AAAAAGTTTGAGGTTATTGGGTTGTTCTCGCATTCTCGTAAATCATATGGGTTCTCGTTTGAACCTCCACCTATATATATATATATATCCTTTTAACTATTTTGGATGAGATAAAACCGTTTTTAGGTTTTATCCAAATAAATATTTATTACCATTTTTTAATCATTTAAATTCAAACAATAATCCTAAATTTTCCTTTTTACGCCACCTTTGTCCTCCAAATTATGCCACGTAAACGACTTCTCTGAAAGTCTCATTTTGCACAATCCCCACATAAAAAATGGCTTTTACATTTGCATAAAAAAAAAAAAATCACCGTTTTAAAAAATAAGTGGAAGGGTATTTGTACAATGTAACAAGATACATCTTAATTTTAATATTTTATTTTATTTTTTATCTTAATCGATGTTATAATATGGTCTTATGTGCAGGGGCGGAACACAAACTTTCCAACCGTAGGGGCCGCACCTAATATATTATATATTTTAAAGGTACCAAAAATACACTGTCCATATGCGTCCCAGTGAGACTGAAGGGAGCTTTAGAGAAGCTTTTTCGATGTTGAGTGTAAAGAGGAAAGCTCGTTCCAGTTCCAAATACAGGTCAGCGTCTAGAAAGAATCTTTTGGAAGAAATGTCAATTCAGAAATCTGGCCAACCAAGTTTAGCAGATGTTACTAACACCAAACCTGATTTGATGAGCATAAAGATGATTCCAGAAGCTTTTGATCTATCTGGAGCCTCATCTCAGTCTACAAAGCTAATTGATGAGGGCTGGATACCATCTTTAAGTGGTGCAGAGAAGATGAAAAATTTATTATCCAAAARGAGMCGGGAATCTACAATGGTGAGTAGTGTAGGAAACAGGAAGCAACTGCGCAAGAAAAACTCGGCAAGTTCCTCCTCCAAAACGAGACTGCTAGATTGGGATTTGCAGAATCTCTTCCTGATTTTAGTTCAAAAGACTTGAGAGGACGTAGAAGTAAAGTAGAAATTYGTATCTTCTTCAGCCAAAGCCTTGATGAYGATGTGTTTTGTAAGCAGCATACACATAACAGATAACCCACAAAAGAACAAACACAAATTCATACAACAAAATTGAGCAGTTAAGCTATTAAGATTCAATGTTCTTGTCACCTAAATTTAGACCTAAATCACCTAAATTTAGACCTTAATTTCCACAWAAATGGTTCTAGACTTCTAGGGGATGCTGCTTAGTGCTTATTGAAAATTGTTCACCTAAAGTGTCTATCGCCCCTRACCATCAATCAACAACACAACAGTATGTTCTGCTTAGTGCTTAGACCTTAGTTCTTGTTMTGTATGACTGTATCACTTATTGTTCTTGTTGACTTGTTTTGTATCACTGTATGTTCTGCTTAGCTTAGTGMTTRGTTCTTGTTCTGTATCACCACATAATCATTAAATCACCACATAATCAGTAAATCACCACAAGTAAATTTAGACCTAATAATCACCTAAATGGCTAAATCAGTAAATCACCACTTTTGGGTTTTGATTTCAAAACAAAAGGTGCAACATTTCATGATCATTAGCAATTTAGCAGCAAGCAGTAGCAGAAGTGTCAAGTGCAGAACAGCAGCAGTCAGCACTCAGCAGAGAATGAGAGTCGAGAGAACAGAGAAGGACGGACACTTACCGGGAACAGAAGTGTCAAGGACTRGCCGTCGACCGCCGAGTGCCGCCTCCGCCTCCGCCTGCCGTCTACGCTGGTCGCTGCGCTCTCGCTTCCGTGTTYCGTCGATCAGACGTGCGCTGTGCGCAGTACGCTCCTGAGCTCCTCGTCCTCCACGTCCTCCACACTGTCTTGTAACAGGTACGGTATCAACAGCTCCGGTGGCCCATTAGGCGGTCCGCCCACAAGCTGCAGTCGGCAGTCGCTCTCGCCTCTCGGGATTGGAAGGGGGGGGGGCGGTTGAAATTTTGTGTGTTCTAGAACCTAATGGACTACACTATTGAAGCCTAATTGAGAAAAAAATCACAGGGGCCAGGGCCCCTATAGGCCTTGCAGGCGGTCCGTCCCTGCTTATGTGATTTTGAAAAAACGATAATGTTTTTATTTTTAATAAAATATAAACTTGAAGATATCATAAAAATTTGACAAAAATATATTGATATTAATATCAAATTAACTATTTAAAATTTCTTACTTTTTGTGTAATTTTTAATTTAATTTTTTATTATACTTTAACTTAGGTTCAATAACGAAGTAATTTATATTTGGTTCAATAATACAATTTTTTTATAAAGATAATAATTAATTATTTGGTTTGAACTCGATAATTATCCTAATTATATTTTAGATTTTTTTATATTTTAACATGAGATGTTTATCCTCTATTTGATCATGTTTATCCGCAATTAGTTACACGAATTCAAACATGGAGCTTTAATAAGTTGTACTTGTGCATAATTTACTTGTAATCTGAAATTTAAGTAATATGCATCAATGTATGGTACTTCATGCATAAAAAATAGTTTTTAAGAGTTTTTATCAAATGTTTTATAATCTATACTATATTATAAAACATTTGACAAAAACTCTTAAAAACCATTATTTATGCATGAAGTACTGTTTATTGATGCATATTACTTAAAATTCAAGATTACAAGTAACTTTGTGTAAGTACAACTTATTAAAGCTCAATTTTTAAATTCGTATAACTAACTGCAGATAAACATAATCAAATACAGGATAAACATTCATTTTAAATATAAAAAATCTAAAATATAATTAAGATAATCATTAAGTTCTAACAGAATGTTCAATTATTATCTTTATAAAAAATTATATTGTTAAACCAAAATAAATTACTTTGTTAATAAATATAAATTAAATTATAATAAAAAATTGAATTAAAGAAGCTACACCAAAAAACGAGAACTATTAAATAGTTAATCTATACTATATTATAAAGTATTTGACAAAAACTTTTAAAAACCATTTTTATGCGTAAAATACTGTTTATTAATGCATATTACTTAAAACTCAAGATTGCAAGTAAATTGTGCGAAAATATAACTTATTAAAGCTCCATATCTGAATTCGTGTAACTAATTGCA